TTCATGAAAGGGTTATCCAATGTTGAATTTCTGGTTGGTGGCGCTGGATCGGGGATAAAACACAATTTAGAAACCTGAATTCTATGAACTATGAAGAACTGTGAAGGTCCATTTCAGGCACTGTGGCTATAGACACATGCCACAGCGGCGTCTGAAACAACACAGCAATTCTCAAGCTCAGATAACGTAGCTGTTGACATGAAGAGAGTGTGCAATCTGGTGGCAACACGGTGGAAAGAGTTTTATAGAGGGACTAGACCCTACAAAAGCGATGTACTCATCGGCCTTAGGCCTGCTGCTACGGTCATTTGTGTACTACAACCTGCGTCCTAACCAACGGAGCTGCTGAGATGGCCAGCACGTGGTCCTTAAGCGCAAATAAAACTCTCTTAAGAAAACGTTTGACGCTTACGACGCATCGCAATTAATTTATCTTTGTATTGTGCGGTTTACCGCATTTAGAGTCATACTGAAGCGGTTTATGATACATTCGGCTCAAGATAACAACTTAGACTGCCCCAAATTTTGTTGGTGACAAGAGATACTTTTTGCGTCTGCGTAGGGGCCGTCTCTTAATCCCGGAAAAGGACATTCTTACGCCATTCCCGCATCAGCGAAGGGGTCTACTTGATACAGAATAGGGTCATCTGGCCCAGAGCATGGGCTATATAATCCAAAAAGAACCCTCGTGCTCAAGAAAGCGCACCTTTTGATGCGGAAAAAGCCTCCGGAGAACGATTTAGTGTCTCTAGCTTAGTTAGGGGGCATCCCTCATATAAACTTCGATCACGTATGCGTAGCTACAAAACTTTTCGGTTGTTTAAAAGGGGACTCCCAAAATTTGGGTGGCGGGGGTGGGGTAAAAGCATATCCTTGACCTCTCCCGCCCGGCAGGCAGCGGTGACATCTTCCCCCCCCCCCCCCCCCCTTCACACACACACCGCTGTGACACCCCTACCCAACATATTAGTTCATCCCAACAATGCCAATTACACGAACGGCAAAAACCTGTGTGCAAAGAGGGCAGCACTAAAGCTAGCATGTGCCCAGGTGTCGCTGTAGTCGATTGGTGTCCTTTGGCAGTATCCTCCAACCGTTTGTCGATTCCCTGACATCCATTGACTGCAGATTCCCGTCAAATTTGAGGCTTGTGCTCTAGTTAGGCAAAGGTGCCCGTCAAATTTTAGACTTTCTGATTCACTCATAACTAACGCCAGGAATAGCTTTTCAGAGGCATGCCAAGATGAATCACAGGCTGTTTAGTGCGCGCATGCCTTCCACGATTTGTTGACCATAACCGGCTGGTGTTTGACTGAAGTGAGTTATAGGACGCGCCACTGTCGTATGCCCTTCACGGTTTGTTGACCATACCCAACCGATGCTTGACTGAAATGAGTTATAGCATGTGCCCTTGCATCAAAGATGACCACATGTGGGTGATGAGTAAGGTATGCAATCTGCCAGAGCGGCTTCAGAAACAACAAGGAAGGCGTTCGGACACTTGGCTGCCTGTCTGTGCTCATGTACATCGCTAAACAGCTGGGGATAGTACTTATGTAGTGGTACTTATGAAGTTTGTTAAAGGCTTCCGATGATAAAAGTGCAATCAGTTAGCAAATATGTCCACAGACATAATGATCGCTCATGTAGCACCAAGAGCAGCTAGAATGGAAAGGTGGGCACATGATTAAGGCGCATGGATGCAAAGGCGCAGATGTCCTTTTATCGTTAAAATTCATATGTCTTGCAACGCAATAAGGATTTTCCCCATTTCTTACCGCTGATATCATGGACATTGGGATTGGGATTGGTGCGGTTCTGGTCAAAGTCAGTTTTAACAGATTGAACCATGTTTGTGTTCTGACTGCATAAAATGCCGCCAAAGCAGAAGTGTATGCTATCAACTGTTAAGGGCTGGTCACATTCATAGCCGATTTCAATGTATATAATTACATCAACGATGAAAATGCCTCAGATGCGTAAATAGATATGAACCGGTGTAAGGCCTGGTAATATGAAGTAACTAGAATAATGTATAGGGACTAAATATAACAAAATATTCCGGTGCAAAGTAATTGGTGTTATTTTACCATTTGTGTTACGACGATCTCTTCACATTTCCGAGCACTAATTCCTACAGTCATACCTGTGTAAAGCGCAGGCAGAGTAGATTCAGAAAACCCGGCAAGAGCTGAAGCTTGTTCCATCACCCCCCACCCCTCCCATACTAACCACATACTTCAGTATCAGCTGTCGACAGAGAAACGCGTTACGCGCGTCATATGGTACACGGCATGGGTGTTTGACACAGTTTGTTACGCAGCCTTTGCTTTGGACAGAGGTAGGCAACATTAACCCAAAGTTCAACCTGCGTTAAAAGTAATTTGTTAACTGAATAGGTTAACGTAACTGAAGATAATCGTTTCAATCGTCGCTAGAGTTAACGAAACATTAGGGAAAATAACGAAGGAAAAGTTGATACGTTAACAAAAGTTAGGGAGAGGAAGCTCATATGTTGGCCCATTAACTTTTCCGAGATTTCCAGCATCTGGTTTTTGTCCCTCATCCCTTTAAAAGGAGGAATTAGCTGAGTCCTGTCGTTTACCGTCCAATTATTGTAATGCAAATTCTACGCTCACTCGGGGCGTCTGTGCCGCTATATTTCCAAAGAGATTTCGCTTGGAAATTTGCGATTTTGTGACCTATTATCGGTACAGATACCAACAGAAGATCGCTCATAGATGTGGTGAACAACAGCCGCCATCTACTTAATACGTCCATATATCACTAGGTTGAAAAGTAACAATGCAATGAAAAATAAATGCATGTAATTACGGACGTGCCTGGATCCCTTATGACATCAGGCGGGATGAGAATCGGTTACATGAAATATTGATAATGCTATTTAAAGTTATGCATCACTTTTACGCCCAGAGTTCAAATGGTTTCGCGGTATTAAGTTCTTCACGTCTCCTATAAAATAATGCAGCCAATGAAATTGAATCGACCCAAGTGGCATAAATAGGATTTCGTCCGAGAGATGTCAGGAGAACAACCTACCCTGTCACCGTGAAACTTGTCAAAGTCTAGCATCGTCTCCCCGAAACTCATATTTTCAAGCCCAGACTACTGAATTCCCCACACGCAAAGAAGGCCATTCACCACTTCTGCAAAAGTCAAGGCTAAAAATTCAATCAAAAATTTTCCAAAAGATACCATTGTCTTGAAGTTAACGACTGGAAATACAACGGAGAGTAACGATTCAGTTCTTAATTTTGCGACATTTAAGAAAGTGTTTCACATTTATATGAGGCTTTGAACTGCAATAGCCATCTTGAAGACCTTTCGGTGTTGTGCACAATTCTGCCCTTCCTTCTCTAACCAGTGCAAGACCTCAGACCTAACCCCCTCCAGTTTCTGAGTTACACGCCCGCGAAAATGAGGAAAGATATATCGGGGAGAGCATTTTAAAGTCACATGGATATGCATAACGTCATTATAACGTTATTCAAATCCTGTCAATCCATAAGCCATGCGGCGATCAAGGTCAAAAAAAATTACGAGGCGTTCAGATTTGGCGTTAGCGAACGCGATTTCCAGATATAACGGCGATTTCCAGATATGACGGTAACTTGGCTCCTTGTCAATGTTGTGCAAACTACGATGACGTAATCAAACCATGACTCACTGAGGAACATATTTAACGGATAGAAAACTGTGCTGTCAAAAGCAGTCTTTTCCACTTCACAAGCAAAGTAATAGTTAGAAGTGTGCCCGCTTCAGCATATCTGATGCTTACTCCAATATCTTTAAATGTGAGGCATTTCCTTTAAAGAGAGTGTCTTACCCTTGAGGCATGTTTCAAAAATATACACCAGTGAACCTCAGGACCAAGTATGTCTGATAATAGTATCGAGCAGCACCACCGCAGCGCCATCAAGACAAAATGACAGCTATTTCCAGTATTTTCTCATCCGGATTACACCGTTAACGCTTTGCAACAGCACTTCGCTTCTTCCTTGCAGTCGTGACGACCGCTGTCGTCATAACGGTGGCAAAATCTACTTAGGCCGGTGTCAGCTGTTTTTGAATTACGTCAGTACGAACGAACATTCTTAATTGGCACAGCGGGCGGCAAGGCCAGTTATCTAGACGCGCATTGGTTGAAGTTTGAATCCATGCGTCTCTATAGACAGGCGTCTCCAAAAACCATGTAGAGCTCCGTCTCTCAACGCCAAAGCGTACTTAGAAAAGAGCCACTGTAGTAAACACCATAGGGCAGAAATTGAAGCCATAGTGTAACGTTTCATTGAATTCGCGAAATTATGGCTTCATGTTCGTACATACTTTTGTCTAAACAGGATGTTTCAAGCTTCTGTAGTATTCATTGCACAAGTGTCTGGATTAATTAGTGTGATGTAAACATTACAGAGCACGCACGTTGGAAAGGGTCAGACAAATGAGGTGCATTTCTTTCATGGTGGTGAGCAGGTAGTCCAGTAAGTTTCTCCCACAGAAGTGGCTACTTCAAATCGAAATGCAGAGCTATTCAAAAGAAGTTTGAGAACGCTCCTATTATTGATCCAATCGTAAGCATGTCATCTAACAATGAGTGAAAGGTACAAACAGGTGGCGTTACTCTTCAATGAAAGCGCAAATCCGTGAACGGAAACCACCTAGTTTATCAAGGGTGCAATGGATTCGTGGGACCTCTGCGTTTGATATTACACAAATGTTATAGGTTAAAATTATTTGTAACGACTTTGCCGCTCCTGAGCGCGCCATTGCCCAACGATTTCATTGTTTTATCCGGTAATACTTTTGAGTCTTAGAACGCTATATTTGGTCAAGCAGAGTTGGAATTTTGCGTGATTTCGAGTGATTTTCGCTGCAAAGAATT